TGGTTCACCTCTCGCTACACTTCCCGTGATAAACTTAAACAGGATTTTGTTTCATCCTACAGGGTGAGCAAAAGGTTTGAAACTAGGTATTATTCAATAATCGTGAAATATGTTAGCTTAAATATTTCCACAGATGTGACTTATTTCAGAAATAAAGCTACAAAATTCATCATAGATCTAAAATACCTTTTAGTATTCATTTTTTATCTCATATTGAGATACAGACCTTTTTGCTAAAATCTATTTAGTAATTATCAATGCAGTGATTACTTACATGAAAGATACGCTTCGCACACATTGCATTCAATTTCTAGTATCGATTTTAAACAAGCAAGATGAAAAACAGCTTTTGTAAGAAACGCTGCATTACGAGGCATTTTTTAGATCGTCAAAAGCATGTGAAACATATTTTAAATCGACAAGAAAGTCCACCAGACACGGAAAAGTCCTAAATTATGAAATTATCTCCATTTAAGAAAAATGAAAACTACAGTAGAAGTTGTTCGAAGTCTGCAAAAAGACAAAAACGCTCACTATAGTTATTTTTTATCCAGTACTGGTTTGAAGTAGTATTCTCACAATGGAAAAAAACTTAAAATGTATCGGCACTTTGCTAGATGTCAGGTATATGATGGAATCGGCCGATACTTGATGAAAATCCATAACTAACGTATTCTAAAAACACTTTATTGTGTGATTTTCACTAGATAGTTTTACACAAACGCAACACGTGTTTCGCCATACAATGGCTTCCTCGGGCGTGTCTCAATAACTAATTCTACACATTAAATGCTATATATACCTTATTCTACAATTTGAGGTACCTGAATTTCAAGTACCTGATTTTTTACCTAAGTTTGTGATGAATTTAATTACCTGAGCTTATGTTCCATTTTACACATTTGAAAAAATATTCAGTAACGGATTGTAAAAGTTGAGGCATCAAGATATCTGGAGAATACTGAGTACACATCAAGATATGGGAATCAGGTTCTGGTAAATGCCTAGCGGAAAACAACTACTTCCCTGGCTAATACCTCGCTGGATATTGAATTATACCCGACATATATTTTAGCAAGATACGTCACAGAGGTGAGTCTCGCAGATGCTTCTTGTTTATCCAGCAGCAGGTTCGAGTGCATGTATGAAATCTTCGTCTAAGAGAAAGATAGTTAACTAGAAACAGCTCCATTTCGTGTGCAAAACCCCACCTACTGCGTAGATAGTTGGGAGAGACGAATATTTCAAAATTTTATTTCGTTCTCGGTCGATCACATACATGGCGTCTTCGTAAGAAGAGATATCATCGCCCTTACTCGAAACTACGACTTCATTCTCTGAATTTCGACTTTGAAGGCGAAATTTCCACTTTAATGTCGAAGTTTCAATTTTAAACTCGAAATTTCGAGATTATCCGCGATTTTCCAACTTTGAACTCGTAATTTTGAGATTGAAGTTGAAATTTAGAGTTTGAAGTCGAAATTCCGAAGCAGAGTTAAAATTTCGAGATTGGGTTGGAATTTTGAGATTAAAGTCGAAATCTCGAGATCAAAGTCGAAATTTTGAGTTTGAAGTCATAATTTCGGATCCAAAGTCGAAATTTCGAATTTGAAGTCGAAATTTCGAATTTGAAGTCGGAATTTCGAATTTGAAGTCGAAACTTCGGGATCAGAGTCGACATTTCGAGTTCAAAGTCGTAATTTTGATTTAACAGTCGAAAGTTCGAATTTGAAGTCAAAATTTTGACATTAAAGTTGAACTTTCAAAATGCGAGTCGTAACTTGGATTTCACAGTCAAAATTTCGAGATCAGAGTCGAAATTTCGAATTCAAAGTCGTAATTTCAAGAAACAGTCAAATTTTCCAGTTTGAAGTTGAAATTTTGAGTTTGGAGTCTAAATTATGAGAATAGAGTCGAAATTTCGAGTTTGAAGTCGTAATTTCAGGTTCAAAGTCGTAATTTCGAGTTCAAAGTTCGAATTTAAAGTCGTCATTTCGAGTCGAAATTTCAAGTTTGAAATCGTATTCTCGAGTTAACGGTCGAAATTTCAAAATTTATATCGAAACTTTGTGTTCAGAGTCTAAATTTTGAGATTAAATTTGAAATTTCGAGTTTAAAGTCGAAATTTCGAAGCAGAGTAAAAATGTTTAGATTAAAGTCAAAATCTCGAAGCAGAGTTGAAATTTTGAGATGGAAGTCAAAATTTCGAGATCGAAGTCGAAATTTTGAGTTTGAAGTCATAATTTCGGATCCAAAGTCGAAATTTCGAATTTGAAGTCGGGATTTCGAGTTTGAAGTCGAAATTTCGGGATCAAAGTCGAAATTTTGAGTTTAAAATCGTAATTTCGAGTTTAAAATCGTAATTTCGAGTTAACGGTCGAAATTTCAAATTTTATGTCGAAATTTTGAGTTCAGAGTCTAAATTTTGAGGATAGAGTCGAAATTTTGAGTTTTACGTCGTAATTTTAAGTTCAAAGTCATAATTTCGAGTTCAAAGTCGCCATTTCAGTCGAAATTTCGAGTTTAAAGTCGTAATTTCGAGTTAACGGTCAAAATTTCAAATTTGATGTCAGAATTTTTGTGTTCAGAGTCTAAATTTTGAGAATAGAGTTGGAATAAGTTTGAAGTCGTAATTTCAAGTTCAAAGTCATGATTTCGGGTTCAAAGTCGCCATTTCAGTCGAAATTTCGAGTTTAAAGTCGTAATTTCGAGTTAACGGTAGAAATTTCAAATTTGATGTCAAAATTTTGAGTTCAGAGTCTAAATTTTGAGCATGAAGTCGAAATTGATGCGAATTTTGAGTTCAGAGTCTAAATTTGGAGAATATAGTCGAAATTTCGAGTTTGAAGTTATAATTTCAAGTTCAAAGTCATAATTTCGAGTTTAAAGTCGCAATTTTGAGTCGAAATTTCGAGTTTAAAATCGTAATTTTGACTTAATGTTCGAAATTTTGAATTTGGTGTCAAAATTTTGAGTTCCGAGTCGAAATTTTGAGAATGGATTCTTAATTTCGAGTTTACTATATTTCAAATTTTAAGGAGAGAAAAATTTAACGTGGAGTCTCTTTCGTTGCCTCAAGAAGAATCCCGTTGATAAAAAATTTGAAAATCTATCTCGTTCCCTTAGTTATCATCTATTCTTTATCAAGAGCATTATCTATTCTACTTATTTAACATTGGCTCTTAAATTTAGATACATTTTCATTTTATAGTTTCGTACAAAAATAGTTAACCTCACTTTTATGTAAATATGAATATTTTCTAAAAACATCACTTGATGACCGTTCGTGAGGAAGTGATTCACAATAATAAATTTTGAATTTTACATCATTCCTAAATAATAACAATTAGTTTATCATGCCTTTTTCGTTTTTTTATCACAGATGTTAATTTAATTTTATCTGACATTTCTTTCTAACCTATATCGGTTATCAGTTTTTCGTATTTCGATGTGTTTTGATGTAAGAATGTTAATATTTGAATTTCCCACTCTCATTTGCTTGATTCCGGTCAAAGCTGTGGGTTTCAATATATGTACAGGATGTCCTTGCTGTATTTCTCCTTTCCTCTCCGCATTTTTCTGGAGAGAGAGGCTAGATGGACTGCATACAGACTTGTGCACATTGCAAATTGGACAAATCAATGTAATGCAGAGTCCAACAGACTGTTGGTTGACACTGGAAGTCACAGCATTCTGGAAATGACCTGCCTTATGAAGTACTATTTCCGAGTAGAGAGAACTGGATCATCCGGGAGAAGGAAATATTAAGAGCAGATAGTTGTTGTTTCATAGATGGATCAGAAACACCTACCGGTTCTGGTGCAGGTGTTTTCAGTCGCAGACCCAGGACAGAATTATCTATCTGCCTAGGAACTGTATTTCAAGCGGTACTTTATTTCAAGCGGAACTTCACGCTATTGAATTGTGTGCGGAGAGATTGGATAAATCCAACCTCACACACAAGTCAATAAAAATATTCTCGGACAGTCAAGCGGCGTTGGTAGCTCTTGTTGTTGTTGGTTGCTCCTACCGAGCAACGTCTAAACTGAAAGAAAATTACCAAAAACGACTCTCCTTGAAAGGAAGACTTAACAGAATGTCTTTGGTCTGAATTCCTGACCATACTGGCCTGGAAAGCAACGAAGCTGCTGACTCTCTTGCAAAGGAGGGTGCTGCAAGCAGCTTCATTGGACCAGAACCTGTCATTGGCATCGCTTTGGGCTTTGCCAAACAAACATTGAACACCTGAATGGCAAAAAGAGTTATGGACTTCTGGCAGAATCTTCTATGATTGGCTCACTCCATCCAAGGCGTTTATTCACCCTTCGAAGCTTGATTCCAAACAGCTGTTGGACTACAGTAGGGATATCTAACAGGCATCATTTGCAGACACTTGGACTGTCGGAAGACAGTGTGTGTCGCCTCTGTTCGAAAAATGATGAAACAGCAGAGCATATACTTTGTGCCTGCGCCGCTGGGGACCGAATCAGGTGAGTTCAGCAGAGCCGTACTTTTACCATCTGACCTGAAAGGCCACTCATCATACAAACTAATCGGCTTCGTTAAGAAGCTGGGTTTATTTGCCGAGTGTGAATAGGTGTAAGCCACAATAAACCCTTGGGGGTTGCGGTGACGAGTCGAATAGACCCACTCAATTCAGACCTAACCTAACCTAACTGTTTCCGATTTCATGAGGTGATTTCTTGTGATTTGTTATGAAAAAACTTCTTTTGAAAATGTAGTTTCAAAAAGTTCGGAGAATCCTTTAGAAATCCATATTTTTGACAGTACGATGTCCGTTTGTACCAGTAGAAAAACAGCTCTGTTTGGAAAAAGCAACATAAGCAACATCAGAATCATTTTCTCAATGGCAGTATTTTTGATAAGCTTGGTATATTCGTAGGTGACAAATCTAACGATAGCAGAATAAAATAAATTCTAAATTGAAAGAGGTATACTTTTAGGAGAGATATAAAGATGGATAGGTAGAAAGCCAAAACTTTTCTTTCCCAAAAAGTTGTTTTATTTGACACAGCAAAATTTTTGATACAATAATATTTATTTTTATGGCAAGAAAGAAAGTATCATCACTAAATAAACAATGATGTAAGTATAAAGAAACAACTTGTCCAGAATTTTTGCAAATAACTCCCAATCTTGGTTGGTGGAGTTGGTCTCGGTCGGGACTATCGTAGCACCGTCTTCTTCTCCTTTGGCAGACGCAACACCCTGTGGATCAAATACACAATCATAACTATTTGGAAAATAATAGCTGTTATATAAATTTATTTTTTCTTTTGTATTTTTCTTATTTTTTGTGCATCAATTTTCTTTTCCTTAAACAATATATATAGCGAAGTAGAAAGTTATTTTTTCAAGGATGAAACACAAGCACTACAGGAAAATCTTTAAGGCGCTGTAAGAGCGGTGCCTGAGCCTATCAACTTAATAAACTTCAGAAGGTGTTTTCCATCCTCCAATTCAAATGAATCTAGAAAGCAATAAATGCTAGTACAGGTTTGCATCAAACTTTTTTCCTATGAAAAAACTCACTCTTGTGGAATAGTCGCTCAAAAGTATCAACTGTCCAGGTCTGCAGGAAATCACAACCGAAACTATGCTTGAAATCCAGGTTGGAGGAGCGACCTTTTTCTGCATTAAGGTTCTGAATACTACGGTAAAAAGTATTGCAAATACAGTCAACAGCAGAGAGTCTCTCGAAAAAGTAACTAGAAACAAAAAAGTATTTTTTGTAATAAGTGCCTGAAATCTGATGTAAGGGTGATGAGCGTTACATGAGCTGTATAAGACTGCAGATAGTAGAAGATTGAAGGTTTTCAGACATATGTTGCAGACTATACTTTTTCTACGACTATTATTAATTGAAATCAGATACTCATTTAAAAATTGTTACAAAATATCGAGTTTACAAGGTTTTCACAATATTGGAAACGAATGTGAAATGAATATCACAAAATAAAAGAAAAATCCTTGTTGTTTCATCATTTTGTGAAAGATTTGGGTGAATTATGTGAAAAATAAGAAAGTCTACACTAGTTACTCAATAATATGATGAAATTTTGTCGCTTTCAGTAGAAACAAATCCAAATAAGTTATTTATCCTTAAATTGCAACAAACTATCGAGTTTATAATGTTTCCACAATAATTGGAACGAATTTTAGATGAATAGTCCAACATTGAAGAAAACCTTCGAAATTTCATCGTTTTGTCGTAGAAAACGACGAAATATTTATGAGAAAAAAAAATTTCAGCTTTCTTCTTGCATATAAGTTATTGTCGGATATGAACTGGAAGAGCAACCTTTTTCTAAACAACTACTTTCACATGAACATTGAAGTATTAGGTTGTTAGTTTTGTCCTTTTCAATATCATGTGTATTTGTACCTCCACTTCCCAATATTTTACATCCACATCTTTATTCTACGAATTCAAATTGAACCAAAACGCTGGCGAAACAGCCCGAAAAATGAATAGACATTTGGCAAATAATGAACACAATATTCGACGTTGATTTATGAAATTTCGATTTTAGCATCGAAGATGAGCCCCGATGTGGTCGACCTACAGGACGAGGATTTGAGGTCCTGGTGGAGACTGGCCCACTACAAATGGTGCATGGGATGAGAGAAGGACTGGGCGTCATCTCCCATGGGGTTTTTCATGGTTTGAAAAGTGTTAAAAAGGTCAAAAAGCTCGAAAAGTGGGTGCCCTACAATTTGAACTTTCTCGAGCAAAAACGGCCTTCGTCTGCAGTTTCAATTCATGTCCTTTATTTTCTGTATGGAGACCAATTCCATAGTTTGTTCAATTCAAAACTTCTTATATTTATCACTTTTTGTTTTTGATATTCATCACTAGTATTTTTACTTGTATACATTAAAACACTATTTTACCTAACTCTCAAAGTATCTGAGTACATTTTTAGGTGAAAGTATCCGTCATTTTTCAAAAAGTATCCGGATACATTGAAAGTATCCGTATCCGGTACTCGGATCCTTTTTTCCTGTATCCGACCCAATTCTGACCTATGGCCTGATAACTTCGACAATTGCGAAACTGGCCAAACGTCACACCCATGCTCAATCCCTAAAGAGATGGGATGAAATCAAAGGATCAGGATCACCCTGGGCGACTCTGGGAAGCTGGCGCCGAAGAAATATCTGGCGATGACCAGGAAAAATCTACACTTAACATTCTGACTTGCCACTGTCAACTAAGGAAACACCTCCATAATATGGGGCTATTGGACACACCTCTATGCAGGATATGTGAACAGGAAGATGAAACTGTCAGGCATGTCCTATGCGAGTGTCCAGAGTTATCGTCAATAAGAGAGTGTGTGTTCGGCGAGTCTTGGCCTATACCTGCCGATATAAAGGAGATGTCTCCCAGTGACCTGTCCACCTTCCTGGAAAGGACAGGATGGACGATGACCTGATAGGACAACTCCTCGGGAGGATGTACAATGGATCACATGTGGCCTAAGTACTGTGGGCCTATACTCACCCTCCCTACTCTACAGATACAGAGATACAGATGCCATGTTAATATTTTGTATAATTTGTAGCACCATATTCTTGGAGGCGTAGAAAAAATCCAACAATGCTTCTTTTGGACTTATTTTCTTGGTGTCTTCTGCATCGACTACAGTGGTCATTAGCCTCGTATCCTGGGTAGGTAATAGTAATAACTTCCCGAGCCACCTAGTGAACATCATGACTATTCGCAGTTCGTCAGCCAACTTCAACTAGATGAATTATTTAGAGAAAAATATCTGGTCGAGCTTGGGATGGAACTCACCACCGTCCATTCGTAAGTCGGGTGCATTAACACTGCGCCAATTCTACGCCAAAAGTTCCTTTTTACGCTAGTTGCACACACACACCGATTTTGGACGGTCGACTTTGTACCGATCGTCCAAATTCCAATAGTCAACCACATGTGGGAACGGGACCTTGCACACATGCCTACCGGTGATCGTCGCCGGTAAAATACCGGTGAGCAGCCGTCCACTGCCACTGTATCGCCGGCAGTACCGGGAAGTAGTGGTGTACATGACTAAATACACTCTTGCATACTCACCGGTTTTTTACCGACCATTCCAGTTTTGAATGCTCGGTGAAATTGTAATTACTACGCATTAACTTTGTTTTGGTAGTGCGTGTTAGTTACGACGACAAAGCAACTGATTGTTTGACCGATAAAAATTCGGTGAGTGTGCAAGCACTCGCTACCAATAAAATATCGGCCGATTTTATACTGGCCGGCCAAAATCGGTGTGTATGCAACTAGCGTTAACTTTTCATTTCAGAAGCGTATCGCTGAAAACGCCAAGGTTTTTATGCATCATGATTGAAATAATTACAACACTGTTATGACAAACTCATAACCTGAGCTTGAAAAACCACCGTCTGGAAATTTTGTCTCAGAAATTCATCGTACTTACTGATAAGTGGTATCTTTTCACCATGTAACGGAAGCTGCCAGGATAGGAATTGAGAGTTGATGAATTGTCCGATGAAACACACGTAGCAAAGAGTCAATCTGTCTTTGTTTACCGGAGACATTGATAGGAAAATGAATGTAAGAATAACACCAGCTGAAAATTTGAAAATGATTAATGCAGTTCTGTTACTGAAAACAGCGAAGGGCTTAATTTCTTTGAAAACTTAAAAAAGCGTATGAAACAACTGCACCTAGACATCTAGGATGTTATGTATACAGGGTGTCCAAAATTTTACACGGAGCTTTCTCAGTTATTCATAAGATACAAAGTTCATATAAACATGGGTCCGCACTGCCTTAATTTTGTATGTACAGGTTATTGAAAACTCATTTTTATTTTGTTTTCTCGTGAAAAATTTCAAAATGATGTCAATATTTGAACAAAAATTCGTATTTGGGGACTTTTTGATATCAGAAATTCAAATTTAGTTAGTTTGGCACTTCTAAAGGGCGCCACCTACAAGTCTTGGCCTCTTTGGGGGCTCACAACTTTGTCGATTATGTATGTATCACATTTTCTAGAAGAAAAATCAATTCATCTATTATTTTTACGTGAAAAAGGTATGATTGTCAAAAGTCGAAAGGACTTTTGACAATCATATGAAAGGACTGAATAGCATATCAGTCCTTTCAATTATTGAAAGGACTGATATGCTATTCAGTTATGCAAAATCAAATAGAAATTCTCTTTTGGTAAGGAATATGTATGTTGAGCTTTACCCGAATTGTCGTTTTCCGAACATCCAAATGTTTAGACGAGTAGAAAGAAATTTGACGGACTATGGTGCATTTGACAGAAAGAAAACAAGAAAATATGTGGTTACTGAAAGTGTGAGGAATCAAATAAATGTTATGGGTAAGCAAATATTACCACATAAAAATTTACACAGTGAAATCGTGAAAACATGTTTTTTTTATTTTGGATTGGCCAGTTACAAAAAGTATGCTAATCAATATTGTTCTTTACGAGAAATTGTCCACGAAATGGGGATTTCTGTAAAATCACCAGAACTATTTTGAAAAAGAACAAATATAAATACTACAGGATACGCCAAAGTTCATCACCTCAATGAAAGGGATTGCAGAAGGAGAGTACGATTTGCAAAGTGGTTAAGACGAAGAAATAGGGAAGTTGGAAATTTTTGTAAAACAATAGTATGGACGGACGAATCAAAATTCACCAACAATGGTTGGTTTAACATAAATATTCATTGTAGCTGGAATAGTACAAATGAACATTTATATAGGGAAACCAATTTCCAAGAATGGTTCGGAATAAATGTTTGGTTGGGAAGTGTGGGAAAAACATACTTGGTTCTTTCTTTTACGATGATCATTTGAATATTGAAATGTATCTTTATTTTCTATTCGATTGCTACTTAGATGAATTACCACTGGATATCCGCCATGAAATATAATATTTTCCGCCCCATAATGCAGCAATAGTAAGGGAACATTAAATGCAATATTACCAAAAAAAAATGGAAACAATGGACCAATTAACCGACCAGCTCGATCCAAACGAAAACTTTACGTACTGTGGTCACCAAATATATCATTTGTCAAACCAAATATGTTCTGTAATAGTTGAAGACTTTGTGTCAATGTCAAATTTTCATTTCTTTTTCCTCCTCGTACTCGGCACGTTGAAGATGGTTTTCTATTAAAATAATTTTAAAAATATTCAAACAAAAATATTCACAGTTGTGCAAATGTTTTCTTATTGTAATGTTATGTTCATGTTCATGTTCACTCAGAGTGGTTTTTATTAAAGTTATTGTACCTCAAGACAGCAGGATCTTCTTGTATATACTTGACGAGTAGGTAATTCTACAATATTAAAAGAATTTTAATATTGTAGAATTTTTACAAATAAAAATGTTCACACGAAATACAATTCCATTCCTGATTTATATAGCAATGTTACCACATGATGAAAGAAATGGCCTGTAGAGTGAACATGTGTCATTATAAAGTTTCATGAACAATTTCATGAAAATCTCTCAATAAAGTGTTACATAATAAAATAGTCATTTAATACTCGCCTAAAGTGGGAACAACAAAACTTGCAGCGTGACTGCTAGACAGTCGTTTGATGTTCATGCTAATTTCAATCGACGGGTAAGTCTCATTCGGACAACATTTGTACTTTCCTGCATTCTTCACCGCTGATTGGGATACCAATTGCCATTCTCCGTTGGGTTCGAGTTCTTCGGTGCCCAGGATGTCCTTTGCGAACTTCAAGTCCAACTCTTCCCCCTTGTGAATCTGTGGAAATTTTCAGAAAAACTTGTTAACCTTTGATTTTTAAATGTTTTTCCTTTCGATTGAAAGTAATCGAAAAATTATTTTGAAAGTAATTCGTAATTTTGTCACACCGTGACGCTGCGTACACCAGTAACAAAAATCAAGAAATTGTCGTAGCATCACATAGCTACGTGGTATGCTAGGCGAAGGACGACACAATTGTCAGCTATAATATCCCAAGGACATTGATAACTAACGAAATAATTTTATCACAGTTTTCGANTATTCCCACACTAGAATCCACACAAAACCAGAAATTACTTTTCGACAACGTCTAGTTGTCTAGCGAATTCTGAAACAGCTTAATACCAACAAGAAGTTTGGTCCTGATGGTACAAAGAAGAAGTTTTCGGATTAACGGAAAAACAGATTTTGAACAGATTTTTTTCTTGTTCTTGAATATTTGGAAAGCTTCAACATCTTGAGCGATCATCAATATTGCTTTCGAAAACAAAGATCAACAGGCGACCCATATTTGGAATAACGTAATCGAGAAAAATGGAGAGTCCAGACTTGTTGCGTTTGATATTTCTAAGGCATTTGACCGTGTGTGACATGAGGGTTTGCTGGCCAAACTTCAATGATATGGCTTGTCGGATTTTGTGTATAACTCTCCAGCTTCCTAAAAGAACGTTTCCTACAAGTGGCCGTTGATGAATATCTCTCAAATTCTTTTACCATCAACGCTGATGTTCCCAAAGGATGCATATTGTCTCCATCCCTCTCTTTATTATATATCAAAAACTCATTAGAAAAAACCAAGAATCCAATATATTGCTCGTCATTTTATTTGGTTTCCATTTGGTGTCCTTCATCAGCAGCAGGAGGTTGCATATCTTAATGAGGATCTAGAGATGATTTCGAATTAGGACGGAAGTGACCAGGTTCAATTCAATGCCACGAAAACCCAGCCATCGGTTTTTCCAAGAAAATAAATGTCTCCAAACCGGATATAATAATGGCATGTCAGACGATTCCTCTTTCTGCCCCGATAAGTTTGTTGGGGGTGTGAAATGGACACCAATATGTCTTGGCACAATCACGTTGCTGGAATTGCAAAGGCTGCTTCTCAAAAGCTTGGAACACCGTTCCGAACCAGAAAACTGTACACAACTCAGCAATTTTTGATGCTTTATAAGGCTCTGATCAGACCTTCTTCAGAGTATTGTTCTCATGTAAGGATTTTTCTGTAGTGCTTGTGTTTTATTCTGTGAAAAAAGTGAAAGATTGGCTAGTGAGTATAGGGTGATGCAGTCACTGGGTACTGGGGCAGGCAGTCACTAGGTAGGTACTGGGTACACTGAGTACGAGCGAACTACTAATCGAGAATTTGTTATCCTCACGTCATATTCTATCGCGAGATTATTAATTCAATATACTACTCTGTTCAAGAAATAAGTTGATATTAAATGTTTCTTGGCATTTATGCCAGCGTTTTTTCTAACCCTCGAACTAGTTCTGATATGCACTTTTTGGTATGTCCTTGAGCCCTTTCAGCGATCCGGTTTTTATCGTCCTTCCATGGGTCTCTTCAGTCTTGGGAATAGGAAAAAGTCGCAGGGGGGCAAATCTGGTGAATACGGTGGCTGAGGCATGATTATGGTGTTGTTTTTGCCAAAAAAAATTGCGAACAAGCAATGACGAGTGAGTAGGTGCATTATCGTGAAGCAAAAGGCATGAATTTTTTTTTAACAGTACCGGACGTTTTCTTCACAGTGCTTCTCGCAAGCGGTGCGTAACTTCAAGATAATAATCCTTACTGCCCGTACGACCATGTGGCAAGAACTCCTGATGCACTACGTCACGGTAATAGAAGAAAACAGTGATCAGAGCATTGCTATTTGATCGAACTCAGCATAATATTTTTGGTTTGACTGCCCTGGGCCCTTCCATGGGGACGATTCGACTTTGGTTTCGATGTCATAACTATATATATATCCATGACTCGTTACCAGCTATGGTCCTTTCAAGCAAATCTGGATCGCCGTTGACGTCATTCAACAATTCCTGAACGATGCTCATGCGACGGTTTTTGGGCAAAATTCAGCAATTTTGGAACGACTTCCGAATTGCCATGAGGTAACCGATATGCCAACATCCTCAGCAACTTCTCTGATAGTGATTCGATTTTCCATAACAATTTTCTTCACTTTCTCAACATTTTCATCGGTTGTTGATGTGCTGAGACGTCCAGGACGAGTGTCGTCAATCACATCTTCTCGACCTTCTGTGGAAAGCTTGTACCGCTTGTAAACATTTTTCTGACTCAGAGTGCAATCACCGTATGCCACTGTTAATAATCCATGTGTTTTCGAGCACTTGATGCAAATTCTTCAACACGCAAAATACGTCTAACTGTTATGTCTCTCACCAACCGGTTGCAGTTTGATAATGGGCAAGAGTGTAGGACTGCGTAGGCTCCACGCTATTTCCCCATAATCAAACATTTTCTGTGTCCAAAGGAGAAGGGGCTCTCCCTGGCTGGATCCACCGTTCAGTAATGTTGTCTAATTTCATCACAAAGTCATTTCTAAATATCACACGTATACATACCCAAGATCCAAACCTGATGGTGCAGTTTTGAGTATCAAATGGATACCTCGTCAGATCTGGTACACACAAGATGTCAAGATGGATTGGAATGACGCCTTGCACTTGTCCCTTGGACGTCACAAGACATTTTACATTGCCTATCAGATTGGGATCGGATCCTTGGCTGGCCCTAAAAATAATTTGAAAGACTGAGTTACTGAGTTTTGGTCAGAAATGTAAATCTGAAAATTTATCTCAATAGTAACCCACTTAATGCTTCTGATAACTGACTAAAGATTCAGATCTGTATATTGATCATAACTTGAGGTTTGACCAGCTTGTGAATTATCTACTTGTGATGCACTATTTGGAACCTTTGGTGTAGTAATGCCTATCACTGGAGTTTTTATCCCAACACTAAACCGTTATTTTCAACACCTCGACACGTCAATCCTCCCGAGGAGTTGTCCTCTTAGGTCATCGTCCATCCTGTCCTTTCCAGGAAGGTGGACTTTATATCGGTAGGTGTAGGCGAAGACTCGCCGAACACACACTCTCTTATTGACGATAACTCCGGGCACTAGCATAGGACATGCCTGACAGTTTCATCTTCCTGTTCACATATCCTGCATGGAGGTGTGTCCACTAGCCCCATATTGTGGAGGTGTTCCTTTGTTGACAGTGGCTAGTCAGAAATCCTACTGTTAAGCGTAGATTTTTCCTGGTCATCGCCAGATATTTCTTCGACGCCAGCTTCCCAGCGTCGTCCAGGGTGGTCCTGGCAAAATTGGATCCTTTGATTCCATCTCATCCCTTTAGGGATTGAGCATGGGTGTAACATTTGGCTAGTCCGCAGTTGTCGAATATTGTGACTTATTGGAAAAGAAAGTTTTTGGCTTTCTACTACTCCATCTTGATACAAAAGGAAGGAAGCTTCCTTCCTTTCTCTGGAAGATTCTCACATCTTTTTGTATCAAGATGGAGTAGTAGAAACCCAAAAACTTTTCCCATAAATTAGTCACTCCTAAAAATATAACCCTTTCAATATAGATTATGAATTGTCCATTGAAAAATGCTTATGGAAATCTGATAATGCTGTATATGCAGTATGCAGAAGGATATTCTTATCGTAGATTTCAAAGTCTGCTTGTATGACTCTCCAATTATGTATGGTCCTGCATTTGCTATTTTATTTTCTGGCACGAACTGAAATACAGGGGCAGGAGTAGACTTCAGAAATCACAGAATGCATGTGTAAGATACAGTTATGGTTTACGCTGGTATGACCATATCACCACTGTATTTCAAACTTCTTCATGGAACTTCATTGAACTGAAGATATTGTTTGAATATGTGTTGACTGATCTACAAACTGAATAACAGTCCTAATGCTCCAGAGTATATAACAAATAAACACCTGAAAATATCTAATGTACATTGTCTATCCACAAGGTTCTCTGATGAATATTTTATTCTCACATGAAACCGCACTCTTCTAAAGGTCTATTCATTCGTAAAAGTCTACAACCCATTGTCGGATCAAGTTGATTTCGAAATAAAATTTCGAAACATTCATCTTCCCCAACTTCCTACACAGTAGGTTCTGGTAAATTCCTGATGGAAAACTACTTCCTCGGCTAATACCACGCTGGGTTTTGAATTATATACCTCACAGAGGTTAGGCCTACAGACCAGTTTCGAAGTATTACCTGTCGTCAGTGTAGAAAATATCCGACCCAAATAACAAAGTTGCTGGTATTCGGTTTTGTATAAGAAAAAGATTGTTAACTAGTAACAGTTCCTTTTTCGTGAACTAGATTCTAGTCTGCGATGACGACGTGACACTAGAGAGGCTGAAGAAAGCCACAATGAATATCAAGCCATGGGAGGAGGCATCACTTGCGGTCGTCAGTATGGATAAGCTCCCAAAGCTTACCAAAGCCTCACTCTGGATCCCGGAGGACATCCACAAGACGACATCCGGTGAAAAGGAGAGGGTGCTAGGTCGGCTGAAGGCGCCGAAGCCTGACCTGAAGGTAGCAAGATGGTGCACTTTCCATCATGAGGTTAAGATGAACCCACAAGGACACCTCTTCGTCTTCGGGATCGGAGACGATGATATGGCTGTTCTAAAGAAGAAGTCGATGAGGTTAAGCTACGCGTTTACCTCACTGACTATTAGGGTAACAAAAAAGAAACAGAGGGTACCTCTGAAGACCCTAGGTCCTTGGAAGTCGAGCCACCTAAAGTGGATATTGACCCCAAGGCCACCATGGGTCCCGAAAAGAAAGTCGAAGCATCTAAACAGATGACAGTCGATGGCATGACGGAGGAGGCACCCAAAAACAGCGAGACCACCTCCCCCTTAGCGGGGGAGCAGATGGACCTCTAAAGATAACTTTGAATCCAACAACTGTCTCATGGGCAAGGACGTTGGAAAAAAAGTAAAAATAATACAATGCAACCTCCAACACAAAGAGGCGGCAACGGCAACACATGTCGCCACCTTGATGTATTGGAGGAGGCAATAGCTTTGATCCTGGATAATAAAGGCCAAAATTACCGGTTTCAGTAGCCTAACTGGTCAAATTTTCAGCTTACCAACCAACCAGCAACCTAGGACGGCTGTCTATGTTCCTAGGAAATACAGAGCGTTTACGATGGCACAATTCAGCACCTCAGATCTCACTGCGGTTAAAGTTGAATGTCCAGTTGGGAAAGGCAAATATATGGCGTTGATAATCGCATCGGTGTACTTCCCTTCAGATGCAGCCACCCTACCACCGACCAGAGAAATGGAGGTACTACTGGATCACTGCCTCAACCAGAGAGTGGAGCTCTTATTGGGTTGCGACTCAAACTCTCGCCACGTGAGCTGGGACAGCATGGATATCAACGCCCGAGGTAAGTCACTATATGAATATATAATACAGAAAGATCTAACAATCTTGAACAGAGGCACGGAGCCAAGATTTATTAATGCCCGTGGCCAAACATTAATAGATATCACACTCACGACAACCAAAATATCAAACAAAATCCAAGACTGGCAAGTCTCGGACCATATTTCTATGTCAGACCACCGCTGGCTGATCTATACGGTAAGCCAGAATCTCAGAACCACTGTAAAATCCCATGACCCGAAAAGGACGGATGTAGCTCTCTACAATCGATTCTTAAGAGGAGCTCTGCTGGAAACAGAGGTCCCGACTCTTGGCAACAATGAGGAACTGGAAAGGTACACAGTATCTATCCACAACAAAATAGACATTACCTATAAGGAATCCTGTCCGATGAGGATGGTTCAAACGCGTGTCACAACCAACACATGGTGGTGCCCTGAATTGGAACACCTCAGGAAGACAGCGAGAACGACCTTTAACAAGGCAAAACGTATAAGACTCGAAGAGGACTGGGTTATATATCAAGCCAACCTCAGAGAGTTCAAAAAAGTCTGCAGACGAAAGCAAAGAGAAGTCTGGAGAGCCTATTGTGAGGCAGTCGAAGACTTCCCACTAGCTTCTAGGCTACAGAAGGCACTCTCAAATGACCACCATAAGAGTATCGGCATCCTGACGAGGGAAAATGGCGACAAAGCCGTCAACCTCCAGGAGAGTGCTGAGATTCTAATGGAAACTCACTTTCCGGGTTCTGTCTTTCCTGGAACGGCGAACTGGACGGATGTACCAATAACACCCTCATAATATGACTGGCAATATGCTAGTACAGTAATTGATGAGGACAAAATAAGATGGGCTATATCGGGCTTTTTTCCCTTCAAGTCACCAGGACCTGACGGTATAAGTCCAGCCCTACTTCAGAGCCTCTCTAGCTCTGAGGTATATTCCCAGTAAGTGGAGAGAAGTAAGAGTAGTATTTATACCCAAACCAGGTAGGATGGACTACACCCTACCAAAAGCATTCCGACCAATTAGTCTCACATCGTTTTTCTTAAAAACCATGGAGAGGCTATGTGAGCGGTACATAGGAGATGAAGTACTTGTTCAGAACCCACTTCATCCAAATCAGCATGCATATACTCCGGGAAGGTCTACTGATTCGGCCCTTCACCATGTGGTTGGCAGAATCGAGAGATCAGTGGACAACAAAGAATCCACCCTGGGTATATTCATAGATATTCTAACAATTACCCAGCAACTACACTCCAGAAATGTGCCCCTGATAGTAGGAGAATGGATACTCAAGATGCTCTCTAGTAGAGCAATAAGTATTAATGTAGAAGACATCACAATGAAAGCACTGGTCATGAGGGGATGTCCACAAGGAGGGGTCTTGTCATCCCTTCTCTAGAACATAGTTCTGGATACCCTTATTAATCACCTTAACAAAAATGGATTCTACACAATGTAGTGTAAGGAACACTCACTGTCGATCAATCCCAAGAAGACTGAGATGGTCCTTTTCACCAGGAAAAGAAGTTTAACGGGCTTGAAACCTCCCGAAATCTTCAAAAGCAAACTAAACTTCTCTGAAGAGGTGTATTACCTTGGTACTATCCTCGACAAGAAGCTAACATGGAACTCTCATCTACAGAGTAGAGCAAAAAGAGCATACGTGGTTTATGATCAATGTCGGAGGACAGGAAAAATCTACGCCTTACAGTAGGATTTCTGACTGGCTACTGTCAGCTAAGGAAACACCTACATAATATGGGGCTAGTGGACACACCTCTATGCAGGATGTGTGAACAGGAAGATGAGACTGTCAGGCATGTCCTGTGCGAGTGCCCGGAGTTATCGTCAATAAGAGAGTGTGTGTTCGGCGAGTCTTGGCCTACACCTGCCGATATAAAGGAGATCTCCCAGCGACCTGCCCACCTTCCTGGAAAGGACAGGTTGGACGATGACCTAGGAGGACAACTCCTCGGGAGGATGTACAGTGGGTCACATGTGGCCTAAGTGCGTGGGCTTACACTCACCCTCCCTACTCTACAGATACAGAGATGCATTCCAAAGATGGCCAGAAACTTATTTAACGGCTTCATGACCAAATAGTGGAAATTTTATTTCATTTTATATTATTTTTGTAACTCGCTTTTGCTGAAATAATTTCCAATGTATGTCTTTTTGTTCATTTTTTTTATATCTTCACTTATTTCTATGAAACTGTTGGTAATTTGGGGTGTTGCATAGAAGAATGAAAGAATGTTGAAAGCCATCTACGTGATTATAAATTCGTGTAAAGGCTGTTCTGAAAATGAAAGACACATGATTATTATTATTGTGAGTATCCTTTTTTTCAATGGAAGCCAAAGTTTGTGAACCCAGTGACGAATTTTACTTTTATAGATATGTATCAATATCAGTAAGAGTTATATCCAAGTCCCTGTATTATTCCTATTGTACAGTATCGATAAACTATATGATAATGTTTCTGTCACAACTTTCATCATTTACATTGTATCTTCTGACAATACATACATGTTGTAGACCGACAAATCGGGTGTCCAGATATCACTGGTGTGCAAGTGCAGGTATTTGATCCCTTCGTGGTCTGCCGGATTCCAAGTCAGATGTTCATCTTTCCAGACCTGAAAAATTATTTTATTTTCCACCATGAACGATGAAGTACCTTTCTAAACATACCACTGTCAACCAGGCATCCAAGCTTAGCATGCTTTCGTAGGTTTTCTGAAATGAAATGAGAAAACTGCTTTGACTGTTTCTGTGAGAAAATTTTTAACAGATTTTTATTTTCAAATAGTAATTTTTTCATAGTGTTTTCATACTTCGGCAAGGGGTTCATAGTTTTTATGTCATGTGGCAGAATATTGTACAGTTTTGGTCCATAAAAATATGTTAGGTTTTGTGTGCTTTCCGGAAAAAATTGATAATATGAAAGACTTATTTACAGAGAATCCACTTTGCTTAGCGTTGGGAGTCGTATATTTTTGTTTATTATGGAACATCCAGATCATTGACTGATAGATATATACCTCTCTTGTATCAAGTGTTTCAATATCCTTGTAGAGGTGAATAAAGTTTTTTGTATTTTTTTTTGTTCAAGATCTCTCTGATACTATAAAATGTATGGATCAGTTCAATTCAATTCAATTCATTTATTACCTTTTTTGCCATATGAAATATGTTAGGTTCGTCAATACACAAGTAGATATAGATAGGTCATTTATACAAATTATACAATGGAGACGCTATTCATAAATATAAAAATAAAATTAACACACTATACTCATAAATATAAAATTACAAAATGTACACATTATATCAATTTTTACACAGATACACGTATATGCATATACTTATACACGAATGCTCAACAAGTTTTAACCAAATCCAGAAATTCATCAATTGCATATATAGGATTATTGGTCAAGAAACTTTTCACACTTTTTTTTGTTGTTAGACCTGTCTCTTATAGTCCTCGGCAGTAAGTTATAGTAGAAACTTCCAGCCCATTCTGGTGACCGCTTGTAACATAGATTTCGAAAACTTTTTAAGTGTATGTTATTTTGATTTCTTGTCGAATAACAGTGAATATCCGAGTTTTTCTCGATGTTTTTAATGTTGTTATGAACGTATACTAATATTTTCAATAAATAAATTATCTGAATGAGCCTTTAATAATGCTGTGGCAACACCATAAGGAATTATCCTTCCTTTGAGATTTGTTATAGAAGTTATGCTATTGATGTATACTGAGAAACGTACCGGGCCCGATACTGTTTCTTGCGGAACTCTAATTTTATATCAATTGGTTCACTCAGGCAGTCTTCAATTTTTACAATTCGTGATCTTTGCGAAATTTTTTATCGTGAATTTTCCAGTTCTAACATTGATTATTATCACAATCATTCACAAAAAAATTACATAATCTTTAAAAAAAAATAATTTGGGCCACAAAGGGTTAAGAAAGTTCTCAGGAAGTGTTTCAATTTTTTAAAATTCTTTTAGACATATTTATTCTTACTCTGGTGAAGTACCTACTTATTCAAAACATTTGTTTTAGCTTTGTTGTTTTCTATTATTTCACCTTTTGAGTTTCTAACAAGAATACTGTTTAGTGATTGTATTTTTTTAATCCTATTTGTCACTTCATTGATTATATCCCATGTTTTTTCCCATTTCCATTAGTATCACTTAATTTATCTTTGTAATATTCATTTTTGATTTTCCTAGTTAACTGAGTTAATTCATTCAAAAAACTCTTCAAATTGTGGATTTCGAAAACTCCTAGGAGAGCATTTCAGAAAATACTGAACCAATAAAATGTATTGAGCTGGCTTCATTTTCAGTAAATTTTCAGTAATATAATGAGGGTTATACAAAACACAGTATAACATTGATATTCAAATTACTCTATTTCCATCATTATGTAAAACTTAGTCTGCTAGAAACATTTACATGGCCTCACTAGTATGATGTGGTTCTGCTGTATTTATCTCCATATTCAAGTGATATAAGTATGTCATATTTTTCGAAATTCAATTATTATTATCATTACAGAACGATTTTCCCAAAAACTTCAGAACCCTGTATTCCAAACCTTCATAACATATCTTCATATGTAGGTTTTCCTTAAAATTGACTAATTAGATATTTGTATGTTATTAAAAAATATTCTGTAGGAGTGTTTCGTATCCCCAGATGAAGTAGTTTTTAAATAATTCTCAGATCAAAACATTTTTGTAACTTTCGTCTAAACTAATCTCTGTCCATTCAATAAATAAAGTAACCCAAATAATGATAGATGCGTGATCACCACCACAATTTGAATCCTTTGGATAAAATAAAGAAGCCTCCTTACGCTGGCCAATCAGATTTAACTGCAATCGGCTGGCGTATTTTGAAATATTTCGTGCATTGTTAACAATTTGGTTTCTGGGTTCAAGAGCTGGTTGGTATTCCTTTCTTCTAGATGTAACTATTCATTATGTAAGATTGGATATGCGATCTGAAAACGGCGCCATCTGTGGGATATTCAAAAAATCGTGTTTTATTATTTTCAAATGAAATTATTTTAGAAGAAAAAATTAAAAAAACCAACATTCCCAGGCAGTCAGATCCTTTGACTGATGAACGTGTTGAATTTCACTTTTTACTTTTAGCAGATGCAAACCAAACAATTTCAATAATCTGCCTTCAAAATTTAGGTATTCAGTGCCATCTATCATAGAATAGTAAAATCAATGATTAAGCCACACCACTAGTTCAGAAATTGTGACTATTGCATCAAAGATCGCGCCACATCATATTGTGAATAAATACTTCCATCTACCTCTTGGCAATGAAACTAAGGACTTGATATCATTTGACTACTCAAACAAAACTACATCATAATTTAAAAAATTAAATTTAAATTTCAAGTCGTCAATAGTACAATTCTTTCATTATATTTTTATTTTAAAAACTGAAAGGAATCCATCCTGATGAATATACTCACCAATATTTTGTAAAAGAAAAAAAATAATTTACGACTACATTTAAGAATTCAACACACGTCAGTTCAATGATTTTTTTATTAAGCAACTTTACATTAAAGCCTCTCGAAGTCTGTACAGACAGTAATTTTCCACAAATACTGCTCGAAAGTTACTTTTGAAAACATTCAACGACTATCACAATAGAATTAAAAATAAACTAAAAATTTATAATATACATTCAGTATGCTTACTTAAAAATAATTGATACAAAATTCATCATTACAATGTACAAAACTTAAGCAAAGTAATGAATCTGGAAACTTTGGCCAGTAACTTCATGTTATTCTGGATGGTTCTTCAAGAAACACTGGTAAATATGGAATTGAAAACTAAAAATGCTAATACAAGAAGACATCAGTTTGTCCGAATTGAATTAGTCCAACTTGAAGTGGGTTCTNTGTACATATACGGTATTTTTAAGTTTAAAATTTTTTAAATATCAAGTACTGATTAGGCTGAAGAAACTGCTAATTTGTGTCACTACACTTCACCTAAAAAATGATCCTAAACCCAGCCACATATTATTAAAAAAAAATAATTAAAATTTAAGTTGTTCCTTAGTGCGACTCTGTAAAATCAGCCTTGTCTGGGAAATCACGTGCAATATGCATGATAATATTTTGGATCACTTTGTTGCTTAGGCGGACAGAGTATAGTGTTCTTTTTTTGTGGGCCATCCAGTTTGGACCACTTGATATAAATATTTATCACTATGTTGAGCACATTTTTCTCACTCTCTCAGATACTTACGTATGCGAAATATTTCAGGATCAGTCTGAAAATAATAGATGTGGAATTTCGGTGGTTGGACACCGGTCTGAGAGCCTGATCATAGTTACAAAGAAGCGAGTCTCTGAGTTTTACTGCCGTTGTTTCAGAATTGCTGGGTGGGCAGCTGAAACCATCATACGCTTGTATAACTGAAAAAAAAATGTGGTTGACACTCTGATAGTATTTATAGATGTCAGATGTTTGGTGGACAAGGATTCTGTTTGAAATAATCTTGCTAATTGCTTAAAATATTGAGATGACAAAATGATCCATTAAAGCTAGAGCAGGGGGTGTCACGTAAATAAAATAAGCTAATATAATTTGATACTCAACAGAATAAAGTCTCACTCGTATCACGATTCAGAAGCCAGGTTTCAATTGAACCTTTCATAAAAATATCTACATCTCATTCAACAAAAAAATTACTCGGTTTCCATCAAGATATCAATTCACAAAACCTGTACTTACGACGATACGACAGATGGCACAAAATCAAAACTAATGACGTATAATTACAAAAGTTTCTCATGTCCGTAGACTATATATTGATGTTAAACATAAATTCACCGATTGCAAATGCTGATAGCGATGAAAACCGTGTAATATTTTTATTCGTGAAAAACATTGAAAGTGGCCAGAAACCGGAAACTAGACTTGTTTGTATTTCAATGGCAATCCGTGATGATAGTAATTGATAGTAATTTGATTGAATTGATACGAGAAGACAGAATCGGACTTGTAACGGTTCACCATTCCCAGTTTTTGTTAAATAATCGTGGCATTTTAAAGCACGACGTTCCAATCAAAACATGATCCACCCTGTAGGTGAGGAACGGACATGTGATAAAAGAACGAGTCAGTTTTTTAAAGGGTAAGAAGTACATTTTTAGGAGAGATTACTTGTTGGGAGTACAATCATCTCATTCGTGACACTATTGAAATATTATCCAAAATGGCGCTGGTGAGATAAGACAAGTGTCTCATTCCGAAACTTCGAATTGAGGATGATAGTGTTCCATGTAAGAGAAATTTCATATTGTAATTATTTCATATTTTATATTGTGATCCTATGGATGATATCTGATTCCATAAAAAAATTTTGGAGTACATACAAATTCAATGTTCATATGCAAGTTATTTCCAAAGTATTGTTTCTTTCATGTAATTTAATGTTCTTTAATTAATCGCTTCCTATCTTTAAATTCAAATACGTTTTTTATTCATTTGAAAGAAGTATTGATGCCATTATGTGTGAAATAGGTATGTGTGGTTTGTGGCCTATTCGCATACACCTGCGACTGGAGGAAACCTCACAAGAAAAAGTCTAACGGATCAAATCGAGCGATATTGGTGGCCAGTTCACATCACATCCACGTGAGATGAACACGCTCTCAAATCACTCGTGTAGAATATCCAATATGAGATGATCTGTGTGGCAAGTAGCGCCGTCCTTTCGAAACCACATGTCACTGGTGTCCAGATCATCTAATTCAGGCCGAAATAAGTTGGTAATCATCGACCTACTTGTATAGTTACTTGACAGTGATGACCTGGCCAACGTCGTTCTCAAAGAAATATGGACCAATGGCGCCGCCACCTCAAAATCTACACCAAAGAGTGAATTTTTCGGAATGCATTGGACGCTCTTGGATAATGAGATCCTAGAGCGTCCACATGAGTGGATTAATATCGTTCCAAATTCGACAATTTTGTTTGTTCAAGTACCCATTCATCCAGAAATGGAACCCATCGCTGAAGATGAGTTTTACCCTAAATTAAAGAACCTAAGGAATTCAAAGACTTGCGTCCTATAAGTCTTCTTCCACTTCTTTCTAAAGTTTTGGAAAAGACTATTGCTCAACAGTTGAGAAATCACCTTCACAACAATAATGTACTTTTAATTATGCAATCTGGTTTCAAACCAAACTATAGCTGTGCTACAGCTTTATTGAACATATTAGATGATATCGTCATAGCATCGAATAGAGACGAAATCACTGTCCTACTATTGATCGACTTCAGGAAAGCTTTTGATACATTGAATCATCAACTACTTCGATCTATATTACATTATAATGGACTTTCTCGAAGCACTTTGAAATTTTTTGATTCATATCTTTCACATAGAAAACAAATTGTTAGAGTGGAGAACCACATGTCAGATTTCAAGAATACTTCTTCAGGTGTCCCACAGGGTTCAATCCTTGGACCTATCCTCTACATTATTTACACCTCCCATTTGACAACCTGTTTGAAAAAATTCAAATATTATATGTATGCCGATGATACACAGTTGTATTATTCTTTTACTCTAGACTCTGTCTGTCTTCGGGTGATGTTATCAACCGAAGACGATTGTGGATACTAACAATCGAAACGTCGTGACATAACTTGGAATTTCAAATCAATTTATATTATATTAGACAATGGAAGTCCGAACTGATGAAATACAATTGTGGTATTCTTATGTTTGTATCGATATCCGCCTCATGTTCCCTCTTTACTCGAATAAAATGTTGTACTCGCTATCACAATTACAATTCAGACCTTTGTTTTTTTTTTGTAAGGTGCAAGAGGAAAAACGACCTCTTTTCAATCTTGTATTCTATTAACAAATTTGTATTTTTTTTCTCCGTATTGTANATGAACCATTGCACATTTGTCTATCCCGAATTTCATACCGATAGCATGCGTGTACTCTTCCACCACCCTCAAGGACTGATGGAGATCCTTCTCTTCAGAGGCATAAAGTTTAAGATCATCCATATAGAACAGATGGGTGACCTTGTGCCTCCGGTTTTCGGGGGTGCCACAATACTCGAGGGGATAACGAGTATTTCTGAGCGCAACGGATAATGGCAATAGTGAGATGCAGAAGAAAGGGGGACTGAGGAAATCACCCAGAAATACACCCCTTTTGAAAGTGACCCACCCTGTTTGGACTCTTGCTTGACCAGATGTTATGGTGAAGCGAGTTCGCCAAAGTGGTATCAGTTGTTCAAATGCATCTCACTATGTTGTCGGGTACCGCAAGGCATCTGAGCAAATGCAAGATGAGCTCATGCGAAATTGTATCAAATGCCTTACGGTAATCGATCCAGGCCGTAGAGAGGTTACGCTTATATCGTATCGAGTCCTGCGTTACACATCTATCGATGGACAGGTTCTCTTTACATCCAGCGACTCCTCTCTTCGACCCTCTCTGCTCATATATCCGTTGGAACACTCGGTCAACTGCGGTGAGTATTCGTGTGTATAAGATGCTCGTAAACAACTTATAACACGAATTCAAGCACGTTATCGATCTGTAATTCTTAGGAATCGACAAATCTCCGCTTTTGGGAATGAGAACGGTCCGCCCCTCGACAAACCAATCCGGAATCGGCTGTTCTCCGTCCAGCCATGAGTTGAAAACTCTGGCCAGATGGCGGTGGGTACTTAGTAGTTCTTTCCACCAATATTATTATTATTATGAAATCAGGGTTAGTGGCCAACTGCTTCAGAGTCCATTCAGCGAATACACGTCGATAACTATGGTCGTTTGCCTTCAGTTCCTGGATCAATTGAATTTTGTACCGGTACAGGTCCAAGTCACGACGCAAACTTTGCCAAGTTGTGATCTACGAAAGGCCGAGTTCTTGTGAGCGACGCGAAATCGACTGCCTCGGATTCTCCTGCACACTCTCACAAACAGCAGCAATTTTTTCGGCAGATCTTGCGTTTCGTCGATGTACGGGTGTTTGTCGATCGTTTACTGAACCAGTGGACACAAATTTATCGGTAGAACGATCATAGCTACCGTAAAATGGGCGAAGCGCGCGGTACGTCGCCCGAACAGAATACCCATTTCGATAAAACAATTTCATTATTTGATCGCATTGTTGAATGATATATTCATACTTGGTGATTTCGCAAGATAGACTGAATAAATGACAACTAATTTGACAGATGTAGCTTTAACAAGATAGCCTTAATCAATTATCAAAGTTCATACCCCAAACTTTACCCACTATGCCCTATCCCTCCAATTATTTTCAATAGCATGAAGAATCTGATGATATAACATTGTATCTATTGAGTTATTCAAAAGTTGTATCACTTTTTATCAAGAACTTCGATGTTGAAAAACTCAACATTGGCTTTCGTTTATATCATTGAGGAAAAATGAAAAAGTAACAAAATTACATGTAAAAATTAATCTGGGTAAAAACAATATGCCAACGTTTTCATATCTTGATCTTTCTAAAAAATCCTGATGATTGTAATAATACTCTGTCAAAAATCTTGCAGAGATAGAAATTCAATGATACATTTTCTGTAAAATAAAGAAATATGAAAAAAAAACTCACCAGAAAATATCGAAACTAAAATAATGAACTTAGTAGCACTCATGATGAAGTAATACTAGAGACTGAAAAACTCTCTTCCTATTGTTTCTCGGCAATTTGATACCCAAATTGAAACCGCCCCCTGCTCTACAAAGATAAAAATTACCATGAATGCTTATACTATTGAATTACTCTCTACATCAGTGATTCAATGCACTGGTGGTGATAGGTGAATTATTATTCAACGTACTCAACGATAAAATTTATTAACCAAAAACACAATGACAAACATAACACGAAAAAGGAAAATTACAGGGTAATCTCGAGAAACTAACGCTAAGTCTTTTATCAATCAGCGAGGAGACTTTAGACCGGGTTTAGTTCTCGATGGAAACCCCTGAATAAGAAATAGTTCTCGGCAGAAATCTCAGAACAGAATGAATGCACCGGATAAGAAAATGTGTTTGAAGTATCTTTCTCACTGACAATGGTCCAGTCATAAATATAGTCAAAAAGGATCAACCACTTGGGCCCTTGTCTTAATACGTACAAGTGTTAACAATGATTATCTATATTTCATCAGTTCGAACTTCCATTGTCTAATATAATATAAATTGATTTGATAACCCCGACAAAAATCAATGTGTGTGTTTCTTGTGCTCAGGAATGCAAACTTTCAATAGTCTCTTAGTTTCACCGATGTATGATTCTCCGCACTCGCAGGGTATCCGGTAAATGCAATTCTTGGAATCGCAGTCCGCGTTTGGTGGCCTGGTTTTCGTGAGGCTGCTACGGATAGTGTTCCCAGATCTGAAGCAGGTCCTGATTATTATACTTGGACCCAATCCGTCTCATCCTTTCCGATAATCCTCTGATGTAGGGTACAAGTACTGGTTGTGGCGGCTTCTCTTCCTTGTGGAGTTCTTGCTGTTTTCTAGCTAAGGCCTGTTCTACCATCACTTTGGAGTACCATTCCGTTGAAGGTCATTTTTGACGATGACTAGTTCCTTTTCGAGACCTTCCTTTGTATTACAGAACCCAAAAGCACGGTCCAGTAGAGTCTTGATGATTCCTCTCTTAGTCGATTGATGAAGGTTGGATTTCTGCTTCAGATACTGTCCTGTGTGAGTGGGTTTTCGATATACAAATGTTTCCCATTTAGTATCAGTCCTCTTCACCAATACGTCTAAGAAAGGCAATTCGTTGTGGGTTTCCTTCTCCATTGTGAAAGTGATGGAAGGCCTCATGTTGTTGATGTGATTCAGGAAAGTGTCTAGT